CCACGACACGCAGGCCAAGCCTCCAGAGCCAGAGCGTGTAACGTGCAGGGTGAGAGGGAGTGTCACACGGACAGAAAGAGAGATACTTGACTGGGTTCCAACAAGCACCCACAAACAGGCCTGAATGACATCTGACAAAGCGCAAAAACGGCAACTCAATGGAGGAGAAACAGCCTTTCGGGCAAACGTGTGCCAAGGCACTTCGGTTGTGTCCAAACTCTGTGCGACCCTATGAGGGCAGCCCACCAGGCACCCGCTCCAGCATCCTTGCCTGGAGAATCCCATGGACAGGAGAGCCGGACAGGCTACATACAGTCCATGGGGTCGCGAGAGTCGGACACAACTCAGTGACTAACCTCTGTCCGTGGGATTCTCCAGGCAGGAACACTGGAGTGGGTTGCCATGCCCTCCTCCAGGAGATCGTCCTGACCCAGGGATGGAACCCGCGTCGCCAGTCTACCGCATCAGCAGGCGGATTCTTTATTACTAGCACCACCGTACCGGAGAAAAAGGACATGTGTGGGGAAAAAGAAATCTCAACCTAAGTCTCACAAATTATACAAAAAGTAACCCAAATGGATCACAGACTTAAATACAAATCATAAAAACATCTTCAGAAAAAAAACATAAAAGAAGGTTTTCAGAAAAAAAGAAAGGTTTTCAGAGTCTAGAGCAAAGAGTTCTTACACATGATGCCAAAAACACAAGACATAAAAGAGAAAACTGATAAATGGGACTTCGTCAAAATTAAAAACATTTACTCTGTCAAAGCCCTAACAAGATGAAGAGTCAAGTCACAGACTGGGAGAAAAGGCTGGCAACCACATAACAAAGGACCGATGTCTAAAACATACCAAGAACTCTTAACACGCAACAATAAAAACAAAAGACAGGAAGAGACGTTTCACCAAAAAGGATATACAGACGGCAAATAAACATAAAAAGATGTTCAACATCATTTGCTATGGAGAAAACACAAACTAAAACCACAAGACATCACTACACACCTATCGAGATGGTGAAAACCCCAGGACATCACAACTACACAGCTATTGGGACGGTGAAAACCCCAGGAGACCACTGCACACCAGTCCGGATGGTGAAGATGAATGACGCTGCCACCAAATGCTGCTGAGGGTGGAGAAACCAGGTCATTCATATGCTGCTCTTGAGCCACCGTGGAGAAGAATTTGTTAATAACACAAATATGCAACCACCCACAGCCCAGCACACAAAGGAGTCTCCTCCCTGAGAGGTGACAACTGATGTTCACACAAAAGCCCGCAGACAAGTGTCTGTGGCAGCTTTATTCATAACAGCCCCAAACTGGGAGCGATGAAGACCTCCTTCAGTGACTGGATGGGGTAAGCACCTTGGGCACGAACATATGATGAATAACACCCAGCAATAGAAAGGAACAAACAAATGATGCATCCAGCCACTTGGATGGATCTCCAAGGAATGATGCCGAGTGAAAAAAGTCAATCTCAAAGGCTACATGTGGTAGGGCTCCATTTTTATAACATCCCTGAAATGACAAAATTATAGAAGTGGAGAAGAAACCAGTGGCTCCTAAGGGTTAAGAATGAGGTAGGGGTGGGAGGAAGGTGGCTGTGGCTCTAAAAAGCCAGTATGGAACTTCCCTGGCAACTCAGGGGCTAAGAATCTGCCTTCCGATGCAGGAAACACCTGTTCGATCCCCGGGTAGGGAACTAAGACCCCAAACGCCACAGGGCAACAAAAGCCAGGTGCCAGACTCCTGAGCCCAAGCACTCTGAAGCCCTCGTGCTGCGACACACACCCAGCACAGCCAAACAAAAAGACAGTAATCACGATAAATAAAAAGGCAGTGTGAGCGATCCCTGTGGTCACGGCAAGGTTCTCCGTGTTGACAGCATGCAAGTCAACAGCCCGGACTCACACTGTTTAATAGTTACTCTGCAAGAGGCTGCCCCTGGGGAAAATGGGCGAAGGGTACACAGGATCCCTCTGTACTCTCTCCCGTGAATCCACAATCATCTTGAAATGAAGTTTAATTCAAAAACAAAATGACTGGAGAAGACTCAAGGCAGGAGCACAGGGACGGTCAGCATTAACAGCTAAGCTGTTTCAGTTACCGTGGCAACTATAAGTAGGCGGTGGGCAGGAGAAAGCGAGTACAGGAGGCAGGCGGGGAAGGAATACCCGGCGCCAGGGACCCAACACACCTCTCTCCAGGTCTGCTGACTGCACGCGTAGAAAGGAGCCCAGGGCCCTGAGGTCACGCCCTTTAACCTCCTGAGTCCAGGCGAACTGGGGTCAGTGTAGGAGTCTGCTGGAGGATGCAGCGGTCCCCGATCGTTTTGGCACAAGGGACCAGTTTCGTGGAAAATAAGTGTTTCACGGGCCAGAGCTATGGTTTCAGGATGATTCGAGTGTATCATGTTTACGGTGCACTTCCTTTCTATTGCTCTTACATCAGCCCCACCTCATATCATCGGGCATGAGATCGCAGAGGCTGGGGAGCCCTGTGACATGGTGATTCTGATATCCCTCTGCAGACCTAGGGAGGCCGCCCTGCACAGGTCCCGCCCTGGGGGAGGGATGCGGCCGCCTCTGGCTCCGTTCACCCATGAGTTACCAAGAAATGGGGAGGCCGATGGAGAGACAGGAGGGGGCGTGGACAGAAGCACTCAGGAAAAACTGGACTTGAGCTTCGCCTTTGGATCTTCTTCCAAAATTCAGAAGTTGAACCAAGAGTTGTGGGTGCCCTTCTCCTGCAGGCAACAATTTATCCAGGTGGACTTTTGCCCTTGCTCAAATTTAAGTTCACCAACTGTAAACCGCGGCCAGTGGTCGTGGGAACAGCAAACTGGAGATGAAATGAGGAACTTTTCTCCTTCCTCTATTGTTCTAGCTGTCTTCAGCCCTGCCTCCCACCGCTGCGCTGAGCTCCCGCTGCGCTGAGGCTGGTTGAGCAGGAGCCGCGGGGCTGCCTGGACCTCCCGGGTTGCAGGGAGGATGCTGGGGGCCTTGGGGGGCAGCTGATGGAGCTCACGAAGGGGAGCTGCTGCACACCCCAGGGCCCAGACTAGCGAGGCCGCTTAAGAGACCAGGCTGCCCCTGGGTGTGCAGACCCCGGGCCGTGGTGAAGGGGGTGAGGTGCATCTGCAGGCGGTCGGAGTTCCCTCAACAGGACGCTCTGCTCGGGGAAGGGGCAGTGGGCAGAGGGGACCCTGGCTTGGCAGAGTCCGAGGAAGGAGCCAGGATGGGGTGGCCTGGCTCAGGAGCTGAGGCAGGTCCTGCCCTGAGCCCTGCTCAGGGCCCGGGGGGCAGCTGGGCACCTTGCCACATCCCGCCCCCTGACGCACACACCCGGCCAGGCGACCCCGCCCGCCCCCTCCCCGAGGGAGGGCTTCCCACGACCCGGGCTGGTTCCTGAGCCTATGTGGTTACACAGAAACCAGAAACGAGGGGAAGCCAGGGAAGAAGGAAAATCCCGACCTGCCTGCAGCCTCCTCCCGCCTCGGAAGGGAGTGGACCGCCCTGAGCCAGCCCCGCCAGCTGACTGTGCCCTGCACCGGAATCAGGGCGTACTCCACCATCCACAACACACGGAGCCGAGGAAACCGCTCTTTTTTAAACTGCATCCTCTTAAGATGCAGAGAGAAGACTGCCTCTTTGATGAAATGGTGAAAAGAGAAGAGGGACCCAGATGGGACCTAGGCCCTGTCCCCAGGATGTGCTGGGGGTCCTGCCAGCCATCACTCCTTCCTGAACCAGCGTCGCTCTCTGAGTAGGTCACTGTCAGAGACAACCAAACACACAGCATCCAGCGTCCTCCCTGCAAGAGTGCTCCTGAAACGCTTTATCATCTCCACTTCCACTCAGCTGAACGTCCGGGGCGGCGGGGGGGGGGAATCACTGAGGCATGCTTCATCTTTTGTTCCCCAAACTCAAATCCTATTAATACAAAGAACTTAGCTCAGTCGTTGACCTCAGGGAACTGATCGTGGTTGACAGGACCGGAAGTCTGAACCACAGTATAAACCTCGTAAATGAGATAGTGGAGACAAACAGAGGAAAAGGTCAGTTTTCCACCAGGGCTTCAAAAGCAGGAGTGTATCAGCTCAAACTGGGGCTCCTCCCAAATTTACAAGTTTCCGGTTTGGACAATGAATCCCGCTCTCTCTCTCTAACTTGAGTGAATTCCATGCAACAGGCCCGGTGACTTCCAGATGGCAGGTATATATTTAGAGTAAAACACATTTAATGACTGCCCAGAAGCTGCGTCACGGACAGAAGCAAACAGAGGGAAAATCGCTAGCCAATGCCCACTGTGAAATGCATCTCGCCAACACCAACCTACATGTCACCACAAAAACACAAAGAAAAATGCCACAAACAAACGTAGAGGTATTCTATTTAAACGGAGATGCATTTTCCATTTGTAGCTTAAATTCACTGCAGTGGAGAATGTTACTAAACATACTAGACCAACTTTAAGCAGAAATGCCTTAAAAGTGGGTACCAACCGGGTGTGTTTAACTATAAAAGACAGTAATTATAAACGACGACAGGAATTTTTTAAATCCCCAGATGGTCGCTAATAAAGGCGTCACTGGGGATCGGCCTGACTGCAACACTCAATACAATGTCACAACACTATCACTTGTCAGAGCTCAGACTTCTGACAAAATGCCAGTGACCCAACAATTAAGGCCGCCTCTACCTGCCCTAAATCTAAGATGCCATAGCTCAACTAGTACACAGGTAGTTTCTATCTGTCTAAAAGAATCCTCGGCTCCCCAAACTGACTTCTACGGAAGATTCACATTTGAACACTGCTCCGTGAAAACACTCCTCGCTCTCTCACGCGCCTGTGTACACGTATACACGGACACTCACAGCCAGACCCCCGTCTAGCTGAGCTCCCACCCCGAAATCAGGGGCGTCGGATAGAGCGCTCACTTCTATGACAAATTCATCACCGAAACACCAAAATGTAAATGATACTCTACTTGTCCGCTCGTATCTGCAGCCTGCTGGAAATGGGTGGCCAGCGCCGTCTCGTCCTGGAAGACCTCGTTACACTCCAAACACTTGAGGCTGTGCCTGCAGAGCCTGGAGGGGTCTTCGTCCAGGGGCATGGCGGGGCTGATGGGCGTGCTGGAAGGGGCCGAGATGACGGTCCCGGTGATGCCAGGCTGGATTTTGGTGACCGTGTGCGCGCCGGCTCCCGCGGAGCTGGGGAGGCTGGACGCCGCGGCGGGGGTATTGCTTGACGGGGAAACAATCATCTGATCCGCCGGCACCGGCTTCAAGATGAGGTGCGAGCACTGCATCACCACGCCCTTCTCCTTGTGCCCGCGGGCGTGCGACAGCAGGCTGCACTTGTTGTAAAACACCAGGTTCTTGGTGCAGTGATTGCAGGTGACTTCGATGCGCACGCTGCGCCTGTCATAGTGCTGGCTCAGGCTCTTCTCCAGGGCGAAGGAGTCCCCGCACTCCAAGCACTTGTAGCCGCGGGTCGGCAGGGTGATGCCCGCGCTGGCGGGGGGGCTGAGGTTGGGGACGTAAACTGGGACTGGGTTGACGCTGCTCAGCACCTTGTTGAAAGCCTCCACCACGGAGCTCTGCAGGGACGACACCACCTGCACCCTCGACACCTTCTTGGGCGGCTGCGAGGCTGCGGCACTGATTATCGCCTGCTTGATCTGCTGCTGCGGCTTCGTCAGCACCTGGCGGAGCTCGGAGGTGGCCTGGGCGCCCTGAGGCAGGAGGTTAAGGTTGGCGAGGTGCACAGTCTTTGGCACGAGTTTGGCGCTGGCCAGGCTGGAGGCCGGCACCACCACGGTCTGCTGCTGGATGGCGCTGGCGGCTTTGATGATGGCGCTGCTGGCGCTCTGCACGGAGGCGGCGGAGATGACCGTGGCCTTGACCGTTGTGTTGTTGGCCAGCTTCAGGTTGATGACTTGGGAGCCGGCCGTCTTCACGGCCGACACCGGGAGGAAGGCAGTCGCCACGGGCTTGATGGTGACCTGCTTGGGGGTCAGCTCGGCAGGCGCCACGGCGTTGGCGACCACAGCGGACTGCAGGGGCGCCCGGGGCGGGGAGGCGAGCACGGCAGCCGGGGCAGGGGACGAGAGGAGCGAGGTCATCGAGGCCACCACGGGCCCCGCCTGCTCCGGGGGCCTCCTGCCCCCCTCGAGCTCCACCTCGGGCAGCACCCGCGTCACCGTCCTCTTGATCTCCCCGGAAGACGTCTTGATGGTCTTGATGCGAACTTTGGGGATTGCTGGTGTTGACCCCGCGGGGGAGGCTGGCGACCCCTTGCTACTGTTTTCGCTGGAAACGCTCCGGGGACTGTCCGGCTGCTTAAGGGACGCTTTCTTCGTCCCGTCGATGAGGCTCTGGGGTTCGGGAGACTTCTCGGTGGCTCGAGGGCTGTCATTGACGTCCTTCGGTAACGGAGAGGACTCCCGGGAGTTGGTCGCCAGCTCTTTAGAGGAGTCGGAGGCGGCTTTTTTTGCACTGAGCGCCGCGATTGCGGCGATGCAGGAAGAGAGCTTGGAGGACGGCTTGGTCCGCGACGGCGCTGTGCCACCAAGGCCAGCATCGTTCTTCTCGGAGCCCAGCTTCCCCTCGTGGACCCTGTTCTCCAGCACCTTTTCGGAGCTCTCCTTCAGCTTATCCTCCATCTTTCTGACTTTAAAAGGTTCGTAAACGCTCAGGTTTAGAGAATTTGTCTCCGTCTCCCTCTTGACAACTTTGCTTTTCTCAAGGCCGCCCGGCACCGGGACGCCAGCCTTGCTCACACCCTCTCCCCCGAGTGCCTTCAGCTTGTCGTAGTCCTGCTGGGGGCCCGAGCCCGCCAGCACGTTCGCTCTGAAGCCTGCGCGCGGGTCCTCCTTGTCCGGGGGGTCGTCCACCTCTATCTTCTCGTCGTCATCAAACTCCTCCGCGCTGGAGATGGGGCTGAACTGGCTGAAGGCCGAGTCCTTTAAGGTCACCTCTGAGGTAGGCACGTCCCCCTTCAGGGACTTCGACCCTTCCTTGCCGTATGTGTCAAGAGAGGAGGCCGTCAGGAAGCCGTTGTGCAGGCCGTTGCCGGGGGGGTTGTGGCCGTCCTTCTCGGCGCCGTCCGAGGAGTCGATGCTGCGGACGTTCTTCACGATGACACTGACGCCCACGTCCGAAGAGGACGGTGCGTGCGCGTCGTCGTCCGCTGGGGCGCCCTGCTTGATGTGGCTCTCCTGGTCGTCGTGGGCAGACTCGATGGCTGCTTTCGGGTCGACCATGTCGGGGATGTCAAACGCTGCCAGCAGGTCGTCAAAGTCGGGGGTCTTCATATCCCCCATGGTCATGAATTGGATCAGATGTTCTGTGAAATGAACAGAAAAACAATTCCATCAGCAACGCCCCGCTCAGACAGACGTCCCTGTAGGATTTACACTGACATGGGGATGGTTACCAGTGAAACAGCAAGTCCCCACGTGCCTTTATCATAAAGTCGGCACGCTGAGCCAAAGTGGACCAACATTCCGAGAACAAGCATAAGCTGATGATTCTACTTTGAAGCAACTCCTCCAAAATGCTGTCAGCACAGCCAGTACGGAGCCGCTCTAACAAGCAGATCAAAACTATTAAAGCCCAAAGAACAGGTTCCGGGGTAACCACCAGAAAATACTGTTCATCATTGGATTCGTCTCCTTGTTTTCACAAAAAGCTACTTCCAAACATATTTTCACCTTGACAGCATTTCATTCTACAGGCAAAGTTATCCCTAATATAGTCACTGTCAGATCTGGGGTATCACATTAAAAGAAACACAGGCCAAAAAAACCAACTACAGATTTCAATTCATCCATGGAAGTGAGCATCCCACGCCAGCATAAGCCTTCTACTGCTAATCAAGTTCCATCTGAGATTTTTAAAAATCCCCAAGGAGCTCATTCTATCAGTTTTTATTTAACCCTAATTCTCCCCGATAATGGTAGGGGAGAAAGAATACGCTCCCACCAGAAAACTATAGTGTCCCTTCCACCTAACTCCCTACTCTGGCAGTTTTGCTGGTTAAGGGAACGCACATCTGCCTCCTAATAACCACTCAGTCAACACGGTCATGCAAGTGGCTGTGGCAGCTGAAGGTCCTCCGTGGACTCACTCCCAGCATGGGGCAACATGGACCCAAGGGCCAGGCAGAGCCCGGGGAGGGAGGCCCTCTCTTCTGCAGCCAGGCTAGGTCAGCATGGCCAACAGGCTGAAAAGTGCTTCCGTTAATCCCACAGAGCCCTGGGTGATGGAAGGGTGCAGGGCTTCAGGGAAATGAACAGTCACAGCTGTAACTAAAAGAGGCGCGTGTGTGCTCGGTCGCGTCCAACTCTCCACAACCCCGTGGACTGTGGCCCGCCAGGCTCCTCTGTCCACGGGACTTCCCAGGCTAGAAGACTGGGGTGGGTTGCCATGCCCTCCTCCAGGGGGATCTTCCCAACCCAGGGATCGAACCTGAATCTCTTCTATCTCGTGTATCAGCAGGCAGGTTCCTTACCACTGGTGCCACCCGGGAAGCCCCCGACTGCAGAGGAAGGATGTTAAACACACAGACCGCTTGGGGTCTTGACAAGGAGCCCTTATACTATCGGGAGCCTGCTCCTCCTCCTCCGTGAACCCCGGAGCACCCCATCTTCCGAGGCGCTATTTTCTGTACACACTACTCCGCGTGGGTACTGGTCTCCTTACCCACTGGCCTGCCAGCTGCCTAGGGACGGCAGTCTCACTCGCCTGGGTGCCATAAACGCCAAATAGCCAAGAGGACACATGGGTCGGGGACCGGGACATACGAGGTACAACAGGAACAGCCCTCCACCCCAGCACGGTGACCCTCGGGCAGCGAGGGCGCCTCCCTGAGGCCGCTCCTCCCGTCGGTGGGGGGGAGGTCAGCCGCCAGGAAGGCCAGGGAAAGAGGGAAGCAGGGCGGAGAATGAGAAACAGAAGACAGAAGGAGAGAGAGAAACGGGAAAGAGGAGGAGGAAGCGGACTAGTCACAATCAGCGTCAGAAGAGACGAGGGTTGGGGCTGGCTGTAGGCAACTTTTTTTTTTCCAAGATTTTTCTGATGTGGACCATTTTTTAAGTTTTTATTAACTTCATTACAATATTGTCTCTGTTTTATTTTTTGGCCAGGAGGCATGTGGGATCTTAGCACCTGGACCAGGGATCGAACCTGTACCCCTGCATTGAAAGGACCACCAGGGAAGACCTTCAGGCAACTTTCAACATAAGAATCAGCCTCAGCCATTTGTAGACACCTAGACGTCCATGGGGTCTTGAAGAGTCGGACGCGACTGAGCAACTTCACTTTCACTTTTCACTTTCATGCATTGGAGAAGGAAATGGCAACCCACTCCAGTGCTCTTGCCTGGAGAATCCCAGGGACGGCAGAGCCTGGTGGGCTGCCGTCTATGGGGTCGCACAGAGTCAGACACGACTGAAGTGACTTAGCAGCAGCAGACTCCCCTGCTGGAGAAGGCAATGGCACCCCCACTCCAGTACTCTTGCCTGGAGAATCCCATGGACGGAGGAGCCTGGTAGGCTATACAGTCCATGGGGTCACTAAGAGTTGGACACGACTGAGCGACTTCACTTTCACTTTTCACTTTCATGCATTGGAGAAGGAAATGGCAACCCACTCCAGTGTTCTTGCCTGGAGAATCCCAGGGACGGCGGAGTCTGGTGGGCTGCCGTCTATGGGGTCGCACAGAGTCAGACACGACTGAAGCGACTTAGCAGCGGCAGCAGACTCTCCTGGGGCTCCCTAGGTGGAGCTAGTCATAAAGAATCCGCCTGCAGATACAGGAGATGCAAGAGACGCAGGTTGAATCCCTGGGTCAGGAAGATCCCCTGGAGGAGGGCATGGCAACACACTCCAGTGCTCATGCCTGGAGAATCCCGTGGACAGAGGAGCCTGGTGGGCTGCCATCCATAGGGTCGCAAAGAGTCGGACACGACTGAGCGACTTAGCACAGCAAAACAGAAAGAGAGAGAGGAACCCGTGAGTGAGAACAGATGAAGGATGTTAAAGAAAAAACAAGAAAAAGAATGGCTATTTCCCTGTCAATATTTATTATGTTGTTCCTCTTTTATATTTGCTTTATATCAGTGAGACGCTGTCTTTCATTTTTTATGAAGTATTTAATGATTTTTTTTCTCATATAATCTGAAAAAAAAAAAAAAGCCATGCATTCCTAATAAACAACTATACAAGGATCACAGTAGAATCTCTACTCAGGCAACAATACACATACCCGTGAAAATTCACATTAACCATAAATCCATCACCAGGTGCTAAGACACCCTCAGCAATATTCACTCACTCCACTCTGGGACCCATCCAAACACTTCACAAAGAATTTTGCTGGGAAAAACTACTACTGAACATGAAATAAACACTTAGGGTTCAATAGGAGCTGAAGAATAAATCTCTTTCTGCTCACTTATGTCTCAGAAGCCGCACATCCTTTTCTCTAGATGGTCTTGCTCAGCCCAGAGAGAACACTCTGAGCCTCTTCTCCCACAGATGGACAGATGGGCGCCTGGAGAACCAGACGGGGAACAAAGAACCCCACCCCCCGATCAGAGTGCAACACTTCCAGGCCGACGATGACATGAAAACATGTACAAGACATCAGCGCTAACAGGGACGTCTGATATTATGATTTTCTTTTTCAAATGAACTGCAAAATATGGGGAGTGAAAAGTCCATCTGTCAGACAATAAATCCACTTAAGAGTCCACCCACTTAGGAATAATCCCTGAATGTCAGCACTTGTATTTTTAAGCATCAACTTGCCTTTATAAATTTAACAATCACAATGAGACCACCATTAGCGAAGCATCCCTGTGATCTGACTTCACCAGCCATGATGATCCACGTTTACACATCAGTTTCGAAAGAATTCAAGACACAGACTCATGAACCACCCCCAGGTCCTGACTGGAGCTGAATGGGCCTAAAAGGTGGCTTTTCCATGCCACCATTTATCCAGGGCTGGGATCCAGGCTCTGGGAGTCCCCGGTGGTGGCTGGGCTCCACCCAAGTCCCTCCAACCTTTCTTTACAGCTACACGGGATTTACGTCATTTGCCTTCTCTTTATGGTTTTGGTGAGTAAAAGATGTCATCCGGTTTCACACTGTTCATCCCAGAGGGCAGTCGGTTCAGGAATAAAGAACAAAAGGACAAATACTCAGTGGGTGGGTGGCCCAGAACACACACCACAAGAAATTTTAAAAAAGGTCACCACATGAAACAAAACGTGCCAGGTGACGGGCAGCTCACAGCAGCAGCGCGGCTGGCAGGCCTGCAGCAGGCCCCTGGGCACGCGGCTCCTCCTGCTCACACAGCAGACGCCCGCCTGGTGCACGGACACACAGGCGCACACGCGGCGGCCGCACCAGCAGAGTCTCACCGCTGATGGCAGGATTGCCACCGCACGGCCTGCCATCTTTCCCTATCTGCGCCACTAAAGGAGTGAGACATTACAAAAGCAGAGACACTGCTTTGCCAACGAAGGCCCGTCTAGTCAAGGCTATGGTTTTTCCAGTGGTCATGTATGGTGAGAGTTGGACTATAAAGAAAGCTGAGCACCAAAGAATTGATGCTTTTGAACTGTGGTGTTGGAGAAGACTCTTGAGAGTCCCTTTGACTGCAAGGAGATCCCACCAGTCCATCCTAAAGGAGATCAGTCCTGGGTGTTCATTGGAAGGACTGATGTTGAAGCTGAAACTCCAATACTCTGGCCACCTGATGCAAAGAGTTGACTCATTGGAAAAGACCCTGATGCTTGGAGGGATTGGGGGCAGGAGGAGAAGGGGATGACAGAGGATAAGATGGCTGGATGGCCTCACTGACTCGATGGACATGAGTTTGAGTAAACTTCGGGAGTTGGTGATGGACAGGGAGGCCTGGCGTGCTGCGGTACATGCAGTCTCGAAGAGTTGACATGATTGAGTGACTGAACTGACTGAAAAGAGTGAAGATCTGGAAAACCCCAGAGAGGAATCGGGGGTCTGCAAATGCCCCAAGGGGTCCAGGAGACATTCCCAAAGCTGGAGCAACTAACTTTCTCTGTGGACATCTAGCCACACCTGCCCTCCTCCCCATTCTTCTGAACACCTAAGGTGTACATACGTTCTAAGGAAGATGAACCTTTGGGGATGGAACTCTTTGGGGATGAAGTACTGGGACACCGGAGAGGTAAGAGTGAATTAGCAGCAGTTTAAAACCGTACAAGTCAGCCCTCCTGGGTCCCCGGAAAGAATCCAGGCTGTAAGGTGAATGCCCAGCGGACGCTGGAAGAGCACTGTC